TCGAGGTCGTGGCTGTCCTCAATGCGCGCATCACGAAGGTCGCAGCTCGCATCGGAGAGGTTGGAACGTCTGCAGATGTGGCAGCCTTTGTCCAGGGGGGGGGGGAGTCGGACATAGACTGTGTGAGGCAGACACTATCACAGCAAAGCGTGTTCTCAACACGCGTTCTCGCCGTGGCTTCAGGGTCCATCACGGGCGAAGTGCCGGTACTTCCCTCTTTCTCCAAACCTCTTTTTGAGAAACTGGATGGAAACAACGTGCCAAACAACGACGTTGGACGTTGCTCACTCGAAAACCTGTGCTTCGACTACGCTAAGGTGAGCTGAGCCGGTTGCTGCTTGTCATAAGTATTTTCACGCTCACGCCTTGATGCTTTTACTGTCACTTCCTCGTTTGTGGCCACTTGTTCAGTGGCGTCCAAATCCCAGGAATCTTGGTGTTTTGTACGCTCCTCATGCGCTGCTTAATTTCGTGTAGACGTGTTATGTAGATACGCGCCGTCTTTGGTGCACCATGTGCATCAAATCTACCCCCCCCCCCCCCCCCCCCCATCCCCAGCCTCCATTTATTCCATCAGAAGTGCGTGGACGAGTGGCTGCACCTGTCCGTGTCGTGTCCGCTCTGCAAGCGCAGCGCCCGCGAAGGCTTGAGGCGAAATCGCCGGAGGCGTCGTCGCGCGAGAGGAGCGGCACAAGCAGCAGCGCAGCGAGCGCAGCAGCACCGCGACAGCAACGACAGCACCGTGCCCGCGACGACAACAACGGCGCCGACACGAACGCCGACGCCCGTTGGAGCTTGGTTTCGAGGACTGCCACCTTCCTTGGCGCGACTTTTCGCCCACTCTGGAGACGGCGGCGGCGGCGGCGGCGGCGGGCGCGGGGGCCGGCGGCAGTGGCAGCGGGTCGACGATGATAGTAGCGACGGGGAGGAAAAGTTTGACGACGATCGCGGCGACACCGGTAACGACGACGGCTCTCCGCTCGACGGAGAGACGAGGAGGATGAGAGTGTTGAATGCCAACATAGCGGCGTTTTTCGGCGGGGCGGAGCCGTCGCCGCACGTCTCCCCGGAGAGTCTCGGCAGCAGCAGCCCCGGGGGTAGCATCAGCAGCAGCACCGGCAGCAGCGACGGTGGCGGAAACGCGGCAGTCGGCGGGAGGTCGTCGGCGTTGCGGGGCGTGTTTGGCGGGAACAGGTTTGCCGGTGACGGGGGGCGAAGGAGAGGTGGTGGCGGTGCTAGCGCGGAATATGAATTGGCACCAATTGGGCCGGCGGCGGCGGGGGCGGCGGCGGCGGCGGCGGTGGCGGCGGTGGATGCAGGGGTTACTAGAAACTCGGATATTGTCTAGAGGGCTGATGTGTCGTTAATCAGGAGGTGCATACGTTTTATGTGGCGTGTGTGCCGAAAGAAGGTTGACTCAAGTCGTCAAAGACTGGTTCAGGGGGTGGGTTGTCTTGTGCGTCTCGGTGGCGTGTGTGCCGTGTGTGTGTTGTTTCACGTGCCCGTTGTGTCCTTCCTTTCTTGTGGGCTGTGTACCGTACCATTGGTGTACTACCATTTTTTTCGTTTTGTAATAGAGGTCTGGGGAGCACCGTACACGCGTCATGTGTTGGTTTGGAGCTAAAAAGTGCTGGGGGTGAAGTGTGACGTCCTTCACGTGTTGTACATGTATGTAACAGAGAAAAGGGTAACAAGCTCTTGTTGGGGGGCGGCGGCGGCGGCAAAAGTCTGCCCGCGACATTGTGTAGGTGGGCTCATGAACGGGAGGGACGACAAGGCTCACACTCGTAGCGCTGTGCTGTTGAGTGTGTCCAATCAGTGACCAAGTTCTGTGGTTCCTCCTTTGCAACGTGTTGCATTGAGTGGCGGCTAGCGTGGCTGTATCTTTATCGGTTGTGGAACGTCGCGAGTGAGAGGACGCGTGGGGCTTTTGCCTCCGCGGCGCTTGCGTGTCCGTGTGTTTTGTACATTTTCGCTACTGCGAGGTGAATCGCTCGGTGCGTTGGCGAGGGCTGGTGTAAGCGAAGGCAGGGCCGAGAACCTCGTGATCGTAGCTTTGTTGAGGCCCAGGGAAATCAGCTGCGGCGAAGAAGACAATCAAAGCAAAGACGCAAACAAGGACGTCAAAAGGATACTGATGTGGACACAAGCATGAAAAGCTTGGGTTTAGCACCGGTGTCGCTTCATTTGAACATCCGTACGACTGAGTCGAGGTCTAGGTCGCGCGAAGGCACGGCCGCGATCTCGTGCGCGTAGCTTTCGTGAGAGCTGAGGGGAAGTGCTACCGGACTCAAAAAACGGTTCAACAATGGCGATTATTTTTCTTCTGGGAGCAGGAACCGATGGATTGGAATACAGCTTCACTTACAGGATAAGTAGGTCTTCCACACTACAGTCGCACTACTGTAGAGCGCCAAACCACCTCGTCAAGTCGTGCAGCATAATTGCTCCGAAAAAAACAACGTGGTGAAACACACGACAGAGAGCTTTACACATCATGAGGCAGCACGCTGTCCTCCAACTAGGGGCGCTACGCCTACACAAAACACTAACAGGGACGACGAGACTCGGCTTGTTGTTTTTGCCATAGAACGTCGTGCTACAGCCACCGTATCTCGTCAAGCAGACCAAGGTAGCTGACCGACCCAATCGGTCACGCTATGCGTATCAGCTAAATATCGGCACATCGAGTCCCCCCCTTCCCCCCTAGACCACAAAAAACTCGAAACAAGGTGCCCTTATTCGAATTTACCGCAAGAATTGAGTACGACGACATACCTGGAGGGGCTACAGCACAACAGTCAATGCCGGCGTTACCCCAATATGGACTGCGGTTACTGTTCAAATTTTCAAAATGGTGCAGGATTACCCACACAATCCTCCCCAAGGGCACACCGCTCCATACGTGCCAAACTAACGCAACCTGCCACAGGCGTTGTGGACTTTCGCACAAAAAAGAGACTGTCCCTAGGAGTGTTAAAAACACCACACACCGAAGCATTTGAACAAAAATAGCTACCCGTCACCAAAAGGTAAAAAGACACCGAACAAGACTGTTTCAAGGACAGCATACACGAAACCTTGTGGGGACGAGAACAAGTTCTTACTAACACGGCGGTTATCGGATACACTTCGGCCCTGTTGACCGTACACGCGCGTACCATGCCCGCCCACCGGAGTTTGCTTATTCCGAAAAAAAGGGAGAAAAAATGCACGAACTACAGTTACTACTGCACCGGGGAAAAACCAAGGGTAAGAATGCGATGCGGGGGGTTACAATGCCAAAGGAGAGCTTGTGCACCTGCCAACCGGTCCCACCTTATCCCGACGACGCAACCCGATTCTCGCGAACTATAACAAGAGACCTTAAAGGAAACACACACACAATCATCATCGACACGGTATTCTATCTCCGGAGAGAGAGAGAGAGAGAGAGAGAGAGAGGGAGCATACGCCGGGAAGCGGGGCGACGCGACACCTGGCGATTTGACAGCATACCAAGACCCCCAAGCCTCTACCGCGCTCGGGGCTAAAATAAAAACACCATCCAAACTTTACACAAATCCAATCTCGTCGCGACGTTACCCGCCGACATCCCCCCTTCAGGTCTCCAACCCTTGTTGCTAACCCGCCCCGCCCTCCCTTCTCTTCTTCAACCGGGCGTTCTCCTCCCGCCTGCTACCGACGTAGCCCTCATCCATCGCGGCAAGGAATCGCAGCGTCATGGCCGACGGTAAGGGAAGCCCTTCCTCCTCCGCCGTGGGGACACAGGTCTGCTGCCCCCTCAGCGTTCTCGTCCGCGTCTCCCCCTCGCCAGGACCATCACGCGACACTTCTTCACATATTTCCTGACCACCGACTTCCGGCTCCAGACCCTCTCCTTCGCCGGCCGTGGACTCGGCTGCTGCGCCGGAGGCCGCGGACCCACCGCCACCACCCCCCCCAGCTCCTACTCCGATTTCCTCTGCCGCGCCCCCTCCGGAGCAGCGCGCGAGGTCGCACCCCCTGTTGAGGTGGCACTGGTTGCCCTCGGAGACGACGGAGCCTTCCCGGTGCTGCCCTTGGAGGTGGTCTCGGAGGAGCACTGCTGCAGACCCGAGCCACGACCTCAGCTTCTACGGGAGATGAGAGGGTTGGACCCGCGCAACGGAGCAAACACGCGAGAGTTTAGAGTCAGTCGCACTCTCGAGCAAATGCCCGTGGTTCTATCTCGAACGGGCAGTCTTTCTGTGTGTTTCACGCATATATTTTCTAAATACAGGCGGCTGGAAAACCGTACGGTCCAAGCCAGGTTCTATCCGAGGGGGAGCCTTTGATGACCCTAGCATTAGTAGTATTTGCACAGTCTGTTCTCTCCACTAGGCGGAGGCTGGCCTTTGAGGTGAATTTTCGGGCAACATAGGTACAAATAACACAACAATAGAGTACCAAACCCAGAGGTGGCTAGCTAGACTAGTCTGGATTCGAATGGAAAATGTTGGAAAATCGAACGCTGGACGACGGGCCCAACCGTGAAGTCAATCCATCAATCGTGCACGATCGTTCAAAAACGTGCGTGCGAAAACCCAGCGGGCAATCGTCTTTATCGAGCGAACCGAACGCACGATCTTTGCATCTCACATATCAACTTCAACAACGTGGTACCACTGCCGTACTAGAATGGCGGAGCTACGCCAAGGAAATCGAGAAGGGAGGTCTTCAAACAGTCATTCCCTCACAAGAAAAAAAATCACCATCGAGACCCGTTTTCAAAACATAAAATCACACCAAACAAAAGACAACAAAAGAAAATACACATAGCGGGCGCTCACCAGAAGCAAGACCAATGAACAAACGCAAGCGTACCTCTTCCGCCTCCGCCTCCGCTCGTCGTGCCAGGAGGGCATACTTTCCGTCCCCGCCGGGTAGCGGCGCGTCCCGGTACTGAAGCGTGTGCCCGGCGTTGTCTCGGATCACGTTGAAGCGCACACGCACGCGCGAGCTCTGGAGGATGCTGATAGCCGGCATGCTCCCGACCCGATTCACGTCCGTGCCATCATCGTCGTCCCCGTCCTCGGTGTTGCCTGCGGTGGAAGACGACAAACCTCCTGCTCCTCCTCGACCCCCGCGGCCGCAGCCGCGGATCGAGCAGTGTTCCACCGCGCCCTCTCCGCCGATGTGCACGCCGAAGACCTCGCTGCCGGAGATCCAAGAGTCGCGGATGATGCAGGTCCCCTGGTCTACGTTGACGCCCCCCTTCGAGCCCACCACCGTGCAGCCGTCCATCTCCAGGTGGGACTCCCGGCCGAGCTGATACACCGCGCCCCTGTACCCGGAGCCCTGCTCGAGGGTGAGGTTGGCGAGACGCACTCGCACCGCCCTGCTGCTGAAGGAGTGGACCAAACTGTTCGCCGGTCCCAGCGCGCCGTCCTCGAATCCGCTGTCGCTGTCGTCTTCGTCCGCGACCACGTCCTTGCCCTTGACCTCGGGCACGCTCGCCCCGCCGCCGGCGGCGCTGCCCAGCGCGCCCCCCATCACCCCGACCAGATAGTGCTCCCCAGCGGGGCCCGAACAGGCCGGGTCGTTGTACAGCACGCAGTCGGCGGCGTCGCCGGCCCCGATGATCTCGACGCTCGACACCAAGCGCTGCAAGCCCCACGCCCGCGCCTCGTACCGCCCCGGAGTGAGCAGGACCACGTCTCCCGGGCGCAGCGCTTCCGCCACCCTCCCGCGGTCCTCGAACGAGTAGCACAGTCGAGGGCTATGGCTGCCGCCGCCCTCGAGGTGCTGCTGGTGTCGGTCCCCGAGATCGGCGGCCGAAAGAGCGGACGCCACCAGCACGTGCACGGAGAAGCCGGAGGGCCGGCCGAAGTACGCCTTGGACGCCGGGGGCAACAAGCCGACGTCGCCCGCCGGCGCCGGCGCTGCGCCCGCCCGCTCGAGGTAAAACTTCGCCGTGTCGGTGATCCTTGGGCCCGGGGCGTGAGGCGAGGCCGGCAGGCTCGCCCTGGGGGACAGCTCGATGGTCGGCACGAACGGCGGGCGCGTCGTCGGGGAAGCCTTCGCCAACCCATGTGATGCATGGCTCGCCGCGCTAGAAAGCGCCGACAACGTGCGCGACAAGAGCGGTGCCGACAATATTTTCCTCGCCCCGCCCCCCAAGGTCGCGGACGCGGAGGAGGGAAGGGTTCTCTCCGGCCCTTCGTCGTCGTGCTCCGACGCCGCCGAAGGCTTCCGGAAGCGGAAGGCCGACTTCAGCGGGGAAGCCTGCGACAGCGCCGCCGGTCCCGGGCTGACCGGAGGGCGAGGCCGAGGGGAGTTTCTGCGATCCTTCTGCCAAGCAGCCACCGCCGCCGAAGCTTTCTCTCTGGCTGCCAGCATGAGTGGCATCGAGAGGAACTGGGGCACGGTGCCAACCGAAAGAGATCGTTGGGAGCCGGGCTCCGATGGACTTGCCCCGGTCGAGGGTGGGCACGAGTCAAACACTCCTGTGTCCGCTACGCCCGAGGCTCCCGTCTTGGAGGATGTCTGGATGGGTGGAGGTGGTTCCATGGGGAGTGGCACGGCAGGCGCTTGGTGGTCCTCGTGCGCCGTCGTAGATCCCGCCGCGGAGTCTTGTGAAAGAGAATCGACGGAGCAGGGCGCCAGCGATGGCCGCACGGCAACTACTGCTGCGTCGCCCTCCTGGCCCGACATGGAACCCGCAGTGGAGTCTCGCGACACCGTCCCAGCCGACCCTTTCGCCATGGCCGGCCTCGACGGCACCAGGTTGTCCTCCCGCGGTCGAGGAGAACCTGCCGCCGAGTCTCGCGACGAACCTGCGGCGGAATCCTTCGCCAGAGCTGCGTCGCCTTCCCGACCCAACACAGAACCTGCAGCCAAATCTTGCGATACTTCGTGTGCAGGACCTGTTGTCAGCACCGGCTGCACCGGAACCACCTCGTTGTCGTCCTCTCGCGCCCGTGGAGAGCCTGCCGCCGAGTCCTGCGAGCGGTCCTTAGCCACGGGCGGCGGGACAACCCATTCGGGAGCCCCGTGCGTATCCCGTGCTCGCGCGTCGTCGCCAGCTCTAGATTCAGGCGTCGGCTCCTCCGTGTCCTCCTCCTCCTCCTTCTCCTCCTCCTCCTCCTCCTCCTCGCCCTCCCGTGCTACCTGCACCCCCCCGCCCTCGCCGTCTTTTGCCACCTCGAGCGCGTCGATCTCCCCCTCCCCGCCTCCGCCGAACCTCGAAACCTGCGGTTTTTCGTTCTCCAGCTGCGACTCTCGTGGCGCCTTGACACCCTTCCCTGCCGTCGATTCGTGCTCACCCGCCGGTTGGTCTCCTCCCGCTTTGTTCTCCGGTGCGAGCTGTTGCGGCGATCCTGTCGAAGTACCGCCGGCAAGCCCTGGCGACAGCGACGAGCCGCGCGGGAAAGCCGTGTTCGCGTCAAGGCTTACCGAAGGGCGCGGAGGCAATGGCGGCGGGATGCGAGTAGTTTGCCGGACGTTCGCGGTCGACGACGATCTTCGCGGGGGTGCTGCCGCGGCCTTGCCATCATTTGGGCTGGTGGAAGGTGGTGGCTTCCTGGCAGACTCGGCGCGGTGAGCAACGGAAGAGTACGGCGGCGGAGGTCCTCTCCGACTCACGTCGGCCGCGAGCGAGGCATCTTTCCTTGCCGCGAGACGTTTCGTTTTCTCCAGCGCTGCGGGGTAGAGCGGCGCGCTCTCCCTCCGGATGGGGCCGGAGCCGGCGCGCCTCCTCTTGACTTCCTCGGCGGCGGGGGGAGCCGGCGTCGGCGAGAGGCTGCCGTAGGCGCGTCCGCCCTTCGTCAGGTTGTGTGTCCGTCGACGCGCTCGCGAGGCTGCCATCTTGACAGCGGCTGCCACCGCTGCTCCAGGACTCTGCCGAGGCTGTGGCTTCTCGGAAGGACTCTTGCCGACGGGTGACGGGCGCTTGGCGTCATTCCCCCCGCTGCTGCCCGATTTCGAGCCTTGCCAGCTTCGGCCGCGGCCTGGATAGCTTAGCCGTTGCATCGTCGGGGGAGATGGACAGGGTTCTTCCTCGCTCGCTGGCTGGGTCGTCTGCGGTGACCGTCGCCGTGCTTCTTCCGACTGCTGCTGCTGTTGCTGCTGTTGCTGCTGTTGCTGCTGTTGCTGCTGCAGCTGCTGCCGCTCTCCCTCACGTAACGCCTTCGACGATTGTAGGTTCCCGACCGTGGCGCGCCTATCGCTCTCGATCGAATTCTGCCGCCCGAAGAACGGGTGCCTTGTGGGCGCGTGCTCCCTCTGGCGGGGGGTGGCTCCGACGCTTCCCACGGCGCCGCCGTAGGTTACTATTCGCCTGCTGCCCCGCTGGCCGGTCCCGGAGACCTTCTGGTGATTCACCGACGGAGACTGCGGGGGAAGCTCGGACGCGCTGGCGTAGTGCATGCACACCTCCCGGTGTACTTTCCAGCCCGCCTTTTGTGTCGCCAGCAGGGGGAGTGGGGCGAGGGGGGGAACGGGTGGTGAATCGACGGGAGTTGCTCGTGCAATACCACGCGCCAATGGTGCGCGCCGGGAGGATGTCTCACAACAGTATTTTGCATGCGTACTGCTGCACAGAGCCGTGGTGGAGTATTTGTAGGTGTGTACGAAGCACAACGGGATGGTCATACTTGTACGTTCAAAGAATAAGAAACATAAATACTACAGCACGAGACCAGCATCCAATATCAACCTCAAAACAGCCTCTGAACCACAAGTCGACGGTACCCTGTGTGTCTGTGTACCGTACATTTGCATACCTTCTGGCACTCCATCCCGCAGTAGGCCACTGCTCTGCAACGCGCGCACAGCTTGAGGCGGATTTTTGGTTGACCCTCGCCGCCCGCGTCCTCTCCATCTCGCTTGCCACACGAGTCGCAGCGAGGGGTGCGCTTCCTCCTGGACACCTTCTTGGGAGAGAGCGCCTTGAACTGCTTGCCGCGGTTCGACATCGCGGGCGCGCCTTCCTTCACAGCGTTTGACACGCTCCTCTCAGCAGCGCCTGCAGCACCTTCTTGGGACTGTTTTCGCTACGGCGCCCCTCTAGGCCAGCTCCAGCCGCTGCCGCAGTTCCGTGAGGTGGGAAGAGCGGGAATCAGGTTGCGTACGGAGACCAACAGCAGACGTCTGAGGGGGGAGAAGAAGAGGTCATTCGCGAGAGAGCGCTCGCCGCCGAGAGGAAAGATGAAAGGAAGCTTAGCGGGGGAGAGGAAAACAGTTCGTGCGGCAGAACTTGGTTGCAGCAAATAGCGCAGAAGGGGGGGGGAGGGTGAAATGGGAACTATCAATGGCGGACCCCCCGACTGCTGTTTTTCCTGTTTGTTTCGCCCTTACGCCCCTGCCTGCTGCTGTTGGTATTGCACTGCTGTTGTCAACTCGAACTCACATATTACACCGTGGGCGCAGTCCTCCGGTTCCGCAGGTCTGGTACATTATCCACCGGGTATCCTCACCGTCGAATTTCGGCAACAGTTCGGTGCGGACGGGGAGCTAGCTATGTCTTCGATTTTCGAGGCCTACGACGAGGAGTTCTTGGCTCTCACCCACGACATCGGCAACAACATCAGCCACCTGAACACCTACGAGACGGACGCTGGTGAGTCTGTCTATGGCCATGGTCTCTCTTCCATGGTGTTGTACAACAAAAGCCGCCCTCCCTCTCAGGACGTAAAACTACGCCGTGCCATCTGTTTGTCCGAGGTCGCGCCATGTCAGAATTCCCCCGCCAAAATCGAAGAACCTGCTGTATATACTCTTGGAACACTCCGAAGCCATTTCCTTATTAGCTTCAACCATCCACAGGCTAAGGTGCGTAGCATGGGTAATGCAGTACTCGCCCCCGCCCCCCGCAATAAACACTGCTGTCCATCACCCTTGTTCTTGGCAAAATCTCAACAAGGAAGGTGGGAAGGCGCTACTCGTGATGCCTGGCACGGACAGGTATAGGTGGAATGATGAAATGGTACGCATGTGCTGCTCAATTGTATGCTTAGGCGAGGCATTAACTTTTCTTGTTCATCAGTTCACATCAGCACTCACTCACCACATTGAACACCTCTTGTCCCTAGGCATGTATTTGCGAGGTGAGCACGAACGGTGATTCTCATTCCAGGCCAATCTGTTCGTCCTGGAATCACAAATCTACCGCGGGGGCAACCTATGGCGCTATTTATGGTAATGCGATGCCAATTTTTCACGACCACCTTCGCGGGTGTCCCTGCCACCACATACTAATGGTATCGGCTTACCAGCAGTCCTCCCATTTTTTTTTGCGTCTTGTCCACAATGCCCGTCTCTTGAAGGGAAAAAACGAACGCAGTTGACGCACGTCGATGCCCTCGTGGGGCAGGCCGGGGATCTGCTTAAGCAGATGGAGATCGAAGTCCGCAGCACGCAGGATGCCGCAACCAAGAAAGAGCTGCAGGGGTGAGTGAGTAGCGGCGTGCGGTGGGTGAACACAGTAGTCACTACGGGAGCACGCTTTCGTACAGAAGACAGCCGTTACATGTACGGCATTTTTTAGAATGAGGGGCGGAGACGCCGGAGAGTTGAGGCAGCAAGACAGCAGCAGTATGCGAACGGAAAGGCGGACAGACAGTCAGAGAGGGAGAGTGAGACAGACGGACAGACAGAAAGAGGCAGAGAAAGGTTAGCTCTCGACGGAACAAAACACCACGGCCAGCAACCCCACAGCAGGTAGAACGTAAGGCGGCAGACAGATGTACACACGTTCGGGCAATGCCCATTCTTCGAATCCCCCCCCCCTCTCGCGACACCGTATGGAGAAATGGGTTGTGGAAACAACTGTCCAAGTACGGGATAAGGGGAAAATGTAGAGAGTGCTGAAGAAAGTCACAGTGTACGAAAAGCGTGGTCATGCTAGACGGAGAACTGTCTAAATTCTTCGACATTGAGCAGGGGGTCCCACAAGGTTGCACGCTGTCCCCAATATTGTTCCAGGTGTTCATCAACGATCTGTTGGAAGTCGTAGAGGCAGTCCGGAAGGGAGTAAAATTAGGGGACACGGAAAAGTCGGTTTCAGGAATGCTGTTTGCGGATGATGTTGTTGGTATGTCGGACACCCCTGAGGGACTGCAACTGCAAATTGACGCGGCGAAGAAGTTTACTGATAAGTGGAGATTGTCTGCCAACGTTCAGAAGAGTGCCGTCATGGTATGCAACGAGAACAAGGAGGAACCAGTAGAACATAGATGGAAGTGGGGGGATCGAGGAGATTGCAGTGGTGGACCAGTCCACATACCTCGGAGTAGAGATCGCAAACGACTGCTCGTGGAAAGGACACATGTCCAAGGTAGCGGAAAAGGGCAAAGCACGAGCAGGGAAGCTGCATCCAATACTCGCAAACCGGCACCTCGATACACGCATCAAATTGACGGTTTTGAAGAGCGTAATCGTACCGCCGCTAGAGTACGCCGGAGAAGTATGGGAAGGAAAGAAGAAGGTCGTGAAAGAACTCGAGGCGACGCAGATGAAAGCAGGGAAAATCATCCTTGGATGCTCCAAGCGCACAAGTAATGCAGCCGTGAGGGAAGAATTGGGCATCCAATCCCTACGGTCGGGAAGAGACGCGAGGAAGCTGACAGGGCAGTATCGCATGTGCGGGATGAGGAGAGGTTGCCGAGAATTGTATGGGAGGCGAATTGGGCAAACAAAAAGAGGGGTAGACAACCTACGGAATGGGTCAAGGTTGACGAGGACCTATGGAAGGGGCTCGACATCGCCGAAGATGAAACGCTTGAAACGGAAGATCTGCAGGGGTTCAAGGAGAAGATATCTGTTGCTTGTGCCGAGAGAGAAGAACAGAATCTGAGGAAAGAATCCAAGGATAAGGAGGGTCTAGAAGTGTACGGAATGTTGAAGGAAGGAATAGGGTT